GACTATGGCCCCTAGCTGCCCTTCAGGTCTGGAACTGAACCCACACCTGTGGCTTCCAGCCAAACAAAAGACAGGCATATGAGTTGAACATTTACCTGAAGTAGATACATTCCTTGGAGAGATCAATCATGGGAGAAAGAAGGTCTGTGTATTCACAGGGAGACAGCTCAGGGGACAGGAGTGCATGGAGGGATGGACACAGGGAAAAGGTAACTATCGGGAGGAAGTGTGAGGGGAGCTGTTGCATTGGGGTAAACTGTAGCCAATGTCATGAGACAACGTGTGTGTAAACTGCTGTATGGAAGGTGAATTTGCTCTGTAAACGGTCACCCAAATCACAAAAAAAAAAAACGGCTCATGCAATTGTGGAGGCAGGCAAGTCTCAAATCTGTGGGTCAGTGGCAGGCTGGAGGCTTCTCCTGACTCATGTGGTAGCAAGAGCCAATGAATACAAAATCTGCAGTTCCTGACATTTCATATAAGTGGGATCATACAATATTTGTCCTTTTGCGACAAAATTGCACTTCTTGCAAACTCAAGTTTTGGCCTGAGGGATGGACCTGCAACCTGTCTTTAAAAGATCCTTCTGGTTGGCATGGGTTATGTGTATGTATGAGTGTAAATGGTGGTACTCACCAGGGGTAGTTGGGGCTGACAGGATGGGGCTATGGAGGGAGGAAGGTGACGGGTGGGAGGGAGGATGCTTAGGACCCTGACTTCACAACCTGGGGCTGATGGTTGGGAGCAAGCAGAAGGGAGGTACCCAGGACAAGGCTCAGGGCACCGGCTTGGGGATCGGGAAACCTGGAGGAGGAGTAGGCTTAGGAGAGACACTGAGGCCAGTGTGGAAAGTGGTAGAAGTTAGCACCCAGCGGGAGGCATCCAGCTGGAGGCCCAGGGCTCCTGCGCAAATAGAGGCTGAGTATGACCCCAGAGCCCCAAACCACTGACAGCCCAAACTTCTGCCATTTGACTTTCACCATCTCTCACTCTGCCAAGCATCCACACATCCTCTGAACACTTATCTGCTAAATACTTTAAATCAATTCACCTTAATAAAAGATCATTATTCTAACATATTTATTTGAACAGGACGAGGAAGTAGAAAACCAAAGTCAACTAACTGCCATAGATAGCATATAACAGGACAAGTAAATCAGGGAGTCAGCAAAATTCAGGAAAAGGCTCCCAAAGTATCAAGTGAAAGCTTTGTTGGGGAACAGGTTATTCACAGGGTGCCAAGGTGTCACCCCAGACAACATGATAATTTAAAGGGGAGAAGGCAACTTTGCAGTGGAGAGACCTGGCAGTCACTTCCTTAAGGATCAAGTTCAGCATTACTGCTCCCAGGGTCCCTGATGTGAGGTACCGAGAAGGACACTCACCTCCACAGTATTCTGCCCGGAATGCAGGATCTGAATCTAATCATGATGGATTCCAGGAAGTGGGATGGTCAACAAGACACTGGCTCTTTAAAGCCAATGTCAGGACAAAACAAAAGTGAAGGGCCTGTTCCAGATCAAACGAGACTGAAGACAAAGCAACCAAGTGCTGTATATGATCCTAGATTCGATTGTAGATTAGACAGTAAAAGTTATTTGGGGAAACATGGAGCAATTTGACTTTGGACCATACATAATATGTAACTGAAACAATGGGGAAAAAGAAACACAAATGTTGGGTGCCCAGCTAGAAGCTCTGGTGGTGAAGTGCCTAAGGCACTTGACTGCTAACCAGAAGGCTGGTGGTTCTTTCCTCGGAAGGAAGGTTGGGCAATCTACTTCCATAGTGATACTGCCTCGGAAACCCAAGGAGGGGTCACTATGAGTTGGATCTGACTCAACGGCAGTGAGTTTGGTTTTTTGGTTTGGGCTTGGTTCTTCCTTGAAGGAGGAGCTCGATACCAGAAAGGGCCTGGCATGTGGCTGCCCCCTTCCATTCTAGATGAACATTAGTTCAGAGTTGAGTCCTGCAGTTCCCCTAATCTCTGCTTCCTGCTTCACCGCCCAGCATGGCTGTCCTCACGCTGGCTTGCTTCCAAAAACAATTGCCCAAAAAGTAGGGAGTTTCCTACTTTTCCAGTAAATTCTTTTATCTGTGGCTGAGTGTCACCTGTGTTGGGCATTAATTCCACTTCTGTTCTTTTCCTCTACAGAGGAAGCACTGAGAAGCCGTATTAGTTTCCTGTGGCTCTTGTAACATATTACCCCAAAGGTGGTGGCTTAAAATAACACAAGTGTATTATCTTACAGGGCTGGAGATCAGATGTCTGAAATGGGTCTTGTTGTTGTTGTGTGCCGTCGAGTGAGACCTGACTCATAGCGACCCCCCCTTGGGTTTCTGAGGCAGTATCACTACGGAAGTAGATTGCCCCATCTTCCTTCCAAGGAGTGGCTGGTGGGTTTGAACTGCCAGCCTTCTGGTTAGCAGTCAAGTGCCTTAGGCACTAAGCTACCAGAGCTCCTGAAATGGGTCTTATGGAACTGAAATGAAAGGCTGTGTTCCTTCTGGAGGCTCTAGGGAGCATCCATTCCTTGTCTTTCCCAGCTTCCACTGTCTGCTGGCCTTCCTTGGCTCCTGGCCACATCACTCCAACCTCTGCTTTCATGCTCACACCTCCTCTGACTCTGAGCCTCCTGCCTCCCTCTTTTAGAACATTTGTTATGACACTGGGCCTACCTGGATAACGCAGGCTAATCTCTTCATCCCAAGATGTTGAATTTAACCACAGCTGCAAAGGCCCTTCATGATCATGGGCATTTGGGGGACAGTTATTTTGCCTACCATGGGAAAGTGAGAAGAACTGAAGTTTTAGACAGGGTGGTCTGGGAGGAACTCCCATGAAGGCTTTGTCTGCACATCTTTGTAAAGACCCAACGGAAGAGAGGGAAGGAGCAGTGTGGATATCAGGGAAGGGCATTCCAGGAAGAGGCAACAGCCAGTACAAAGGCCCAGAATGAGGACATTCCCTTTTCTTGGGACCTCAGTACTGCCTTTCCTCCTTGCTGCCCCTAAACCACAGGGGTCAGAATTTGGTGCTGTCTCAAGACCCCTCCTCCATCTTGCTTGAAGATCTGGGTGGTTTCAGATCCCTAACCATTAGTGGTTCCCGGGTTCTGTCCCCACTGCCCATGGCTCCTCAAAGGGCAGGTCAGCCTGGGGGAAGAGGGTGAAGCTTGGGTCAGAAGGGCAACTCGTTTCGCCCTACCCTCCACTGGCAGCCCTGGCTGGTGGTCACCTGGGGACCGGCATGGTCCTGTCTGTGCAGAGTCCGCCTGCGGTGCCACTGGCGCAGGGAGGCGCGGGCCTCGGAGCTGAGGCCCTGGGGAGCGCGGCCTGCCTCAGGCTGGGAGTGGGCAATGTGATGCAGCGCTCCAAACCACGTCGTCAAGTAGTACCCGGCTGGGGGGCCAACGGAGGGAAGTCAGTCTTCCGGGCTTCCTTTGCGGCCCTGAGTGCCCTGAGTTCACCCCGCTTCCTGCCTGCTTCCAGGAGAGGCGTCTGGGGCCGTGACCCTAGAGCGCCCCCCGTTGGATCCCAGCATTCGAGCGGTGTCTATGTGTGTTTTTTTTTGGGGGGTCCTCACCTTCTCCCCGCAGCTCGTCGGGATCCAGGAGCTCCATAAGGAACTCCACATCCAGCTGCGTCTCTCCAAGGTGAGGACTCCAGATCAGTTCCTCCGTCAGCGCCGGCAGGAAAGCGTCGGCGCCCTGGGGCTCTGGGGAAGCACGGGGCAGGCCCTGGGCTTGGTGGGGGCATGCAAACACCTTCCAGCCGATTCCCAGGACCGCGATAGCTGGCTGCCCTTCCACCTCGCTGGGCACGCACACGTCTCCTACTAGGACCCCCAGGCCTCCCATCAGCACATGCTACCCTCTACCCTAGTCGTGCGCACACACACCTCCTAGCTGGTTTCCCAGGCCAAGTGGACGATTCGCTCAAACCCAAGCCGGTCTATCTTACGTAGCCGCCAACCCGCCCTTACCTTGATTCCCACCGCGGGTCAGGCCCTCATAGATATCCCTGCATACTGCCAGCAGGAGCTCCACCTTGCGGCGTGGGGCGCAGGCGGCGTGGAGACGCGCTAAGCGCCCGTGGATGCGGCTCCGCAGGTCAGGGGCGGAGCCCAGCCCGCCGGGCTCCGCCTCCCGAGCGCCCAGAGGCCCCGCCTCCGCCCTTAGGGCTATTTGTCGCCGCCGCAATCGCTTCAGCTCGGGGGCGCGGAGTGTGCGGAGTTGAGTCCACAGGACAGGCTTCAGGGGCGCCAGCACTGCCCGGCATAAGGCCGCCTCCACCGCGGGGCCTGAGGGAATGCGAAACGAGTGAAGGAAGGGTCACCAGGCAGACCCACAGCCACCCACCAGGTCCACCGACCCACCCTTGCAGACGCCATCCCTCCTTTGGCCACTCACAAGTGGAGACATGAGGTGAACACGTATGGGAAAAGGTGCATGGTGTGAACATACATGGAAGGAGTGTGGCTGTCAACACAAGTGTGTGAGCTAGAGGAAGTGGTGAAAAGACTGAGTGTTATTCTATGTAGAAACACATGGGTCGCGATGAGTCCATATCAACTGCACAAGGACTGTTTGGTTTTTATATGAGGAATGTTGTTGTTGTTGTTGTTTTGCCGTCCAGTCGGCCCCGACTCATAGCGACCCCTCCTTGGGTTTCCGAGGCAGTATCACTACGGAAGTAGGATTGCCCAACCTTCCTTCCGAGGAGTGGCTGGCGGGTCTGAACCGCCAGCCTTCTGGTTAGCAGTCAAGTGCTTTAGCCACTATGCTACCAGAGCTCCTTTATATGAGGAAAGGATGCCTAAATGGAAAAGCGAATGGGTACACACACGACAGGAGAGGAAGAAGTTGGATGAACCTGAACCCATGGGAGATCATGAAGAGGCCATAAGTCCCCTTCCAATTCTCTTCATTACCAAGATCCTGGTCATTCTGGGCTGCCCCAGGCCCCCTGCTCTCAAAGACAGCCCTGACTTCAGGATCCTTCACGAGGTAATCTTGGAGGTCAGTAAGGAGGTGCCTCACATCCTGAAGCAGCTCTGTGGCTGGGTCCCCAGGCCTGTGGGAGCCCCCTGCCGCTAGGGTGAGGCGGATCCGAAGGCCTCGGAACTGTTTGGCCACGTGGTTGCCCCAGCCTCTGGCTAGAGCCCGGACGTGAAGCGTGAGAGCATCCTCAGGTCCCTCCTCATCCTCCTTGTAGGTGTCCTCCACCTCCTCATCCTCCTCTTCCACCAGGTTGGCCAGAGCAGGCCCAGCGTAGCGCACTTCCGGGCTGAGAGGGCCTTCGATCCAGGAGACTCGGTGAGGGACAGGGTTGCTGGGGGCTGGAGTGTGAGGAGAAGGTTTGGTCTCACAGAATAATACTACAGATCCCTCTTCCCTCAGCGGTCCAGGGCCCTGCCCAGCTAACCTGGACTGTTTTTCTGGATAGTCTCTGGCGTGGTCTCTGGAAGGGACTGCTCCATCCCCTGTTCTTTGTGTGTCTTCAGGTAGAGTTGGTTCACCACAGAGAGGGCCTTTCCTGCGGTGTCACGTTGGACCCTGCCAATCTGCAGAGGATCTGGGGGCCAGCAAAAGGGAGATAAAGGGAGATGTCCTAGGGGTCAGCCCTGGTCCCTTCAAGGCACTAGGACACTTAGTGCCCAGCCTTACTACTAAAAGGGCTCTGAGACTTGGCCCCTGACCCCTCCTCACTAAGGACCCAAGAGTACAGGCCCCCAATCCTCTCCTTCCTCAGATCCAGGAGTCCAGGCTTGCAGCCCCTTCCTCCCTCAGATTCAGGAAAACTAAGGCCCTAAGACTCCTCTTCTCCTAGGACCCAGGGATCTGGGCTACCAGCCCCCACATCTCCAGGATCCAGGAGTCTGGGCTCCTAGTCTCCTCCTTCAGACCCAGGAGTCCAGGTTCCCATCTCCCTCCTCTCACAGACCAAGGAGTCTGTTGGGTTTCTATCCCCTGCTCTCTCAGGGACCCTAAAGTTCAGGCTCCAACTCCCTCCAACTCTCAAACTCAGTCTGGTTCCCCAAGTAACACTCCTCTGGATCAAGGAGGTTGAAAAGTTGGCCTCTACCTGCCTTGGGAGGACTGTGACTCACTTGTATGTTTGTTCCCAGGCCCTAGAGTTGCAGGGGGCAAAAGCAGTGTTCTGGGCAAAACATCCCTGAGAAAAAAGGAAAAGGGGAGTCATGGTATGGATTGGGTATCTTAGAGAAGGGTCCCTCTTGGCCAATTTGATGGGTATCCTGTACCTGCTGGCCGATAGGAAGGCCAGGAGATGGGGCAGGTCTGGCATGCAGAGATTAGAGGATTCCAGAGACACACCTGGGGGAGGGGCAAAGAGTGGGGAGGAAGAAAACTTGAAGGGTGGCAGCTTCCTCTCCCTGAGCACTCTTCCTTCCCCATTCCTGCAGCTCCCCCAGGGACCTTCTGAACAGAGACATTTTCAGCACTTGGAGTCCTCATTTTTTCTTATATCCCACTTATGCCACCATATAGGGTTCATTCATTAGACAAATATTTCTGAGCACCTATCATCTCTAGGCAATGGCAATATAGTTGTAAAAAGGCAGACAAGTTTGCAGCCTTCTTATAACTTACATTTTAGTAGGAGGAAAGAGAAAATAAATGAGTAAGCAAAGATAAGCATAGATTGTAGTGAGTGCTATGAAAAAATTAAGTGATTGAAAATGACTGGGGGCCATAGTTGCTGTGGTAGTCAAGGACGGTTACATGTCAGGAGACACCTGATGGTTGGAGAGACTAAAGAAAGCATTCAAGGAAGAGTGCTTGTGCAGAGAGAACTGCAAATGCAGTCTCTGAAGCTGGACCACACCTAGCATGTTCAAGGAACAGAAAGGAGAACAACTGTGGCTGCAGCACAGTGAATGAGGATGGGCAGGCAGGAGCTAGATCATGCAGCACCTTGTAAGCCATGGTGAGGAGTTTAAATTGTTATTTAAGAATGTTACAAACCTCTGCAGGATTTGGCCCAGGTGTGTAACATCTGATGGATGTTTGAAAATACCAATCTGGCTGCTACTGTGCTCAGAATGAATTGCAGGAGAGAAGGCGTGGAAGCAGGGAGACTAAGGAGATAGTGTACTAGTCTGACAAGAGGTGATGGTCGCTCAGGCTATGGTGATGGAAGTGAGAGGATAAGGAAGATTCAGGAGATATTTTAGAAGTAAAGCTGACAAGTCTTGGTGATAAATTTGCTTTGGACTGGAATCTCAGGAGTAGGTTCCTCACCTCCAGGAATCTTCTTGATCTGGTACGTGTTTATTTCCCCACGTGAAGGTCCTGTCCTCAGCACCAGGACCTGGCTGGAGCCATGTCCTGTGACAAGGAAACTCTGGAGGGTAGAGGGAAAAGTCAGTTTAAAGAGGAATCTGTTACTTTTGCCTGCTTGGCATCCATCTTCCTTAATTTGGGTCTCACATCCCAAATTTCCTTTAGGTTAGTCCCCTCCCTACTTTCAGTCCATGTCGGTGGGACTGACTCCTCCCAAATTCCAGGAGTGGGATCATGACCTAATTTAGCCAATGGGATGGTCCTGCTGTCTGACGATGTGACTTGTTCAGGGATAAACATGTGAACCAAGCTCAGCCAATGAAAATCTTCTGTCTTCTACAGGACTTTGGAGCTCTTCAGAAAAAGGTTCCTATTTCCATCAATGTTGCTAAACTGGTAGAATATAGATCTGAGCTGAGGACAACCATCTTTCCCACCACAAAAAGAGAGCATTTCTGAAGAAGAAACTATGGCAGATACTGTTAGTTGCCTTATCCAAACCTATCCCCTTATTCCTTACAGAACTGCAACTTTGTTTAAGCCATTAATATTCCTAGCTCTAGAACATGGATAATGATTGATAAAGGTAGTGCCCTTCACCTCTGACTGTATATTATAATTGCTAGATGACCTTTTACAGTAGTAAAAGGGCCCCATCCCACATTTTATTCAATTTCGATTGTGAAAATTTTTTTGTTGATAAAATAATCTGACGGTTCCCTTCTCCCTTTCTTGCTGCCTGAAATGCACACACATGCTTGGGCCAGGGATAGCCACTGGACAAAGAAAAAAAAAAAAAAAAAGCTCAATAAAGTAGGAATAGAAAGAAAATTCCTCAATCTGGTAAAGGGCACTTTGAAATCAGAAGATTCAATGTTGTTGAGCTGTCAGTACTATCTAAAGCAATCTACACATTCAATACACTTTCCATCAAAAGTCCAATAGCCTTCTTTGCAGAAATGGAAAAGCCAATCCACAAATTTAAATGGAACTTCAAGGGGACTTGAATAGTCAAAGCCATCTTGAAAAAAAAAAAAAGAAGAATCTTAAAACATATAATAAAGCTACGATAATCAAAACAGTTGGGTCCTGGTATATGATACACATATAGACCAATGGAATAGAGTTAAGAGTCTAGAAATAAATCTGTACATATATGGTCAGTTGATTTTTGGTAAGGGTGGTAAGTCCATCCAAAAGGGGAATGAATAGTCTCTTTGATAAGTGGTACTGGAACAACTGAATCTCCACAAGCAAAAGAATGAACCTGGACCCACATACAAAACTCAATGTAGGGAATTCTTAGAAGAGAGCATAGGGGTAATGCTTTGGGATCTAATTTTTAACAATGGATTCTCAGATATGGTACCAAAAACACAAGCAGCAAAAGACAAAATAGATAGAAGGACCTCATCAAAATGAAAAACTTGTGTTCATCATAGGACTTTATCAAGAAAGTAGGGACAACCTATAGACCGAGAGAAAGTTTTTGAAACCATATATCAATAAGTGTTCAGTGTCCAGAATATAAGAAGCTCTGGTGGTATAGCGGTTAAAGCATTCAGCCGCTAACCAAAAGGTCAGCAGCTCAAACCCACCAGCTGCTCTGTGGGAAAAAAGATGAGCCTGTCTTCTTCTGTAAAGATTTATAGCCTTCAAAATCCTATGGGGAAAGTTCTAGTCTGTCTTATAGGGTTACTAGGAGTCAAAATTGACTTGATGGAGGTGGGTTTGGCTCTTAGGACCAGGATATATGAAGAAATCTTACAGCTTAACAACAGAAAGGAGGAACCGGATTAAAACAATGGGCAAAGGACTTGAATAGGTATTTCAGCAAAGAGGAAACACAGATGGCCAACAAGTACAAGAAAAGATGGGCAACATCATTAGCCATCAGGGAAATTCAAATCAAAACCACAATGAGATACCACTTTATACACATGGAAGGGCTATGATTACAAAAAGGGAAAGCAACAGATGTTGGTGAGGATGTGGAGAAATTGGAACCTTCATCCATTCCTGGTGGGACTGTAAAATATTACAGCTGCTGTGGGAGCTCTGGTGACGTAGTGCCTAAGGCACTTGACTGCTAACCAGAAGGCTGGTGGTTCAAACCCACCAGCCACTCCTTGGAAGGAAGATGGGGCAATCTACTTCCATAGTGATACTGCCTCGGAAACCCAAGGAGGGGTCGCTATGAGTTGAATTGACTCGATAGCAGTGAGGCTTTTTGTGTGTGTGGGGACAGCATTTTTGTGGTTCTTCAAAAAGTTAAACAGAATTACCATATATTTAGAGATCCATAGGTATATATCCGAAAGAACTGAACTTAAAACAAACACCAGACTGTGATGTTGTTATGTGCCGTCAAGTTGGCCGTGGCTCACAGCAACCCCTTCTTAGGTTTCCGAGGCAGTGACTGGTGGGTTTGAACCGCCAGCTTTCTGGTTAGTAGTCAAATGCCTTAGGCACTATGCTACCAGAGCTCCTACCAGACTATGATAGTTAAGGTTATATGTCAACTTGGCTGTGCCTGGTTTGTTTGGAGTGGCTGGGTGGCTGGATGTAGTGATTCCCCATGATGAGACTGGTGATCAGTTCCATAGTGGAACCTACTGTGAGCAGCTGAGTAGCTGCCTTAGCGATGTGGTCTGCTTCTAGTATACAAGAAGACAGCTTTGAGAAAGGTCTCAGAGTTTTTGGCATGCTTGGACCCTGCATGTAGCCAAGTCTTCCTTCAGTAGCCTGCCATGGTCTGCCAATCTTAGGAGTTTCTGGATTTGAACTAATGCCCTGCTGTGTTACTTGACAGTTTTGGGACTGCACCATATTACTTGTCGATCTTGGGTTTGTCAGCCTCAGCAGGCAGCAGCTGCCTGAGTTAAGAGAAGCCTCCAGCTTCAATGGGCCAGGAGCAAGGGGCAGAGCTGAAGCCAAAGGTCCAGGGACCTTCACCCAGCCCCTAGAGCTGGCACTTAAACTTGGACTTCTAGCCTCCTAAACCATAAGAGAATAAGCTACTGTTTGTTAAAGCCACCACTTGTGGTATTTTCTGTTAGAGAGGCACTAGACCAAAACACAAACTCACTGCCATTGAGTCAATTTCCAAGGCTGCAGACTGCCTCATCTTTCTTATGGTGGGTTTGAACCACTGACCGTTTGGTTAGCACTCAAATGCCTTAACCACTACACCACCAAAGAGCAAGGACTTAAAAAGATAACTGTACACCAATGTTCACTGTAGTATTATTCACAATAGCCACAAGGTGGAAACAACTCAAGTGCCCATCAACAGATGAATGGGCAAACAAAATGTGGTCCATACACACAATGGAATATTACTCAGCCATAAAGAAAAATTAAGTTCTGATACATGCTAGGATGTGGATGAATCTTGAAAACATTATGCTACATCAAATACACTGGCACAAAAGGACAAACATTGACTGGTCCTGCTTATATAAAATACCTAGAATGGGCAGATGCCTAGAGACCAAAGTGGTTACCAGGGGCTGGCAGAGAAGGGGTGGTGGACAGTTAATGCTTTAAAAACAAACAAATAAATCTAAACCAATCTATCTCTGTGTGTAAAAACAAAACAAAACAAAAAAGTCCTGAGAAACAGGTGCTTGTATGAATTTACACCCCTGTAAAGAGATTCAATATGAGTCAGAATTGATCTATGACATCTAGGAACAACAACAAGTGCCATGTATGCTAGAACCTTTTCTTTCACAGAGAAAAGATGCCTGTTGACTCACCCCCAACAGTCCACGGAAGGAGGAAAAGAAGAACACAGCCTTTTGGTTTGCCCAGTTTGCGTTAGGTTTGTCTCTAGCAACCAGCCAAGACCTGACTCATCAGGGCATCACGGGCAGGTCAGAGCAGGTCCCCAGCTGTGAGCACTCACCCCCAGTGGCCACAGCTCCAGCAGGGCCTTTGCATCCTGGGTATCCAGCTCTGGGATCTGCCACACCCCCCATGTCCTCTGAAGGCGAATGAGTGGCTCTCGGGACCTTGGCACTCCTAGAAGGGTCTCGCCTGCTCCATTCACCTGTGAGGTGGCCAGCCTGGGATGTGCAGGATCCAGGTGGTCAGGGGCCAGAGGTGGACACTTAGGAGGGGTCAAAGTGCAGGAAGGGGCATCCCAGGGATGAGGGGTGAGAGAGTGAGTTTGGGGTTCCTTTGGGGTGGGGTGGGCACGGGGTGAAGTTTCTGGATCGGGGCAGGAGATTGAGACCCCAGCCCCAGCAGCCATTACCTCTCCCCTTCAGTGGGGGTGGCAGAGGCCTTGTCTTCCAGCTGGGCCATCCTCAGGATGCAGGAAGCCAGTGGGGCATGATCTGGTCCCTGCTAGGGGGATGATGGCACTCTAGGCTGCTCCAGCCCAGAACAGTGTCTACAGCCAACATGGCAGAGACCCTGGCCAATCAGGAGCCCAGAGGCCCCTTCCTAGGCCAGGTGTTACTTCTTTAGTTGCTAAATGGTGGGGAGATCTGGGGACACCAGCAGAGAGGCTATGATGAGCGGTAAGGGGGCAAAAACAACAGCTATTTACCAACTGGTGGGAAATTATTTCAAGATTTTAACAATGGACACAGCTGTACCAATGTGACTCACTGAGTAACATTTGCCCAAACCCAGTGTCTAGAAGAGGTCTCTGCCATAGTAAGCACACCATCAGTCGGCCCAATGTCATAAGACACCCTCTCTTCCTCTTTCCCAGACCCTGGAGTGTCCCTTGAATTCCCCCCGCCCCCAAAGTTTTATTACGAAAAATTTCACACATATAGAAAAGCTGAAAGAATTTTACAGGAGACACCTGACTGGCCACCACTTTGACTCTAAACACTTTTCACTCTTTTTGCTCTGTCACCCATCAGTCCCTCTATCCCTCCATCCATTGGACCTCAACTCTTAACCAGGTACAGAGTTCCATGTGGGATATCACTGTGTCGTGGGCATTTTTAAGTCATTTTCCCTGCAGCAGTGGAAAACAGTTGGATCTGAGAAGGAGGCTTCATCCATCCATCCATCCAACAAATAATTAAGTACAGGCCTCGAATTAGGGGCTGGTGCCCTGGGGTGGACAAGACAGGCCCTTGCTCTCAGGGGTTTCCATTCTTGCTTGAGGTGGATGCAGAAGATGGATAATCCACAGCTAAAGAAACAGATTAGCTCCCTGACCAGATGCCTGGGTGTTAGGTAGGGGAAGGGCTGAAGGCATGTGTCCAGAGGTGGGTGGGGGAAGTGGGGAAGAGGGGGCAGCCATCTGTCCGCCTGGGCCCTAGGGCCAGGGAGAGGAAGAAATGGGTGGTGCTGGCCAGGGCAGGATGGGGGTAGCTGCCTGCTACCAAAGTAAGGCAGTGGGGGGCAGGGATGCCGGATGCTTGGGTCCCTGGGGGCTCCTACCTGTTCTCCGGGAGGAGGCCCGTGCAGTAGGAAGTGAAAGTGTTCCTTGCAGAGAGAGGAAGCTGAGTGACGGGGGGAAGGGGCGGAGCTGGGGGGTATTTGAAATCAACCTTCCTCTCTTTTTCCGGGGGCTCAGGTCTTAGGTGACCCTTGGGCTATGGAGGAAGGGACCCTGGCAGGCTGAGATCAATCCTCTCCCCCCAGCTGCTCCCCTGTGTGTCCACAGCAAGAAACATCCAGGCCAGACAGCTGAGTGCTGGTGTTTTTTTTTTTTTATTTCTTTCCAATAAGCAACATCTTCTACCCATCCCCGTGTAGGAAGTGAGTCCCAGATGAAGGGAACACAGCACCCACTTTGAAGTTGGAGGCAGGGGCCTGGAAGGCCTTCAGGCTCAGCTCCAGCCCACAGGAGGTTAGGCTTGGCCCACCTGGCCCCAGGAGTAGAGAATGGGGCCCTCAGACCCCAGTTCTGGGACAGTTAGACGTATGGGGGCACCCCCAGCCCCGGGAAGCAGTTAGAGATTAGAGGCTGATCCTTGCTCCGGGGAGTGGTTAGAGGTTGGGGCTGTTAAGAGAGAGGGGCTGCTCAAGCCAGGCCCCTGGGAAATGTTAGAACCGTGCTGGGTTGAGGGGCTGGGACCCCAGATAGGGGAAGGAGTGGTTAAGAGTTTGGAAAGCTGTTCTTAGCTCACACACTAGAGCCGCAAGGTAGAGAGGGGCTGGGGCTGGCTGGGGCTCAGCTGTCCCCAGAGAAGCTGGGCGTCCTGGCAGGGAGACGTGGTGTCACTGGGGTTTCTCCTCCTCCTGGCTTCTGGCTTCCTCCTTGGCAGGTGACGGAGACTTCCTGGGGGAAGCGGAAACGCCGGGGTTGGAGTCCCCCCGTGTTGACTGGGCGTCTATGGTAGCATGCTCCTTCCGGACAAGATCCTCCAGCTCCTTCTGCAAGGTGCAAAGTTGAGAAGTTAGAGGGGTCATGGAGTGGGTCATAGGGTCACAGTGCCTGTGGGGCAGGTCCTGGGCTCAGGTTGGGCTGGGGTCCCCAGGCTCCTCACCTTCCATCCGAGGAGGTCGGCAAGGGCCAGGCAGCCCTGGTCACAGTCACCCAGCCAGGCCACATCCCTGCGGGAGTGGGCAGAAGTCAGAGCCCCAGCCTTCTCTGGTGCTACAGCCAGCCCTTCACGGGTGTTCCCACCCTGGAAACTCCCTCCCACCGTGACCCAGTCACTTCCAGGTCCACCCTCACCCTAGACCCAGGCCTCACCTGTAGGCCTTCTTGGAGTCGAAGTCCATGCCTCCTCCGAGGCCCATCATCATGCCCAGGAAAGGGTCAGTCTGTGAGGGAGAGAAGGGTGGTGGGGCAGCAGTGGGGGCATCAAGACTATAGACTCAGAAGCCAGGTGACCTGCCTTTGTCTCCCAGGTCTGACTTTGATCAAGTGACTTGGCTTCTCTGTGCCTCAGTTTCCTTAGCTGTAGAATGGGGGATAACCATTGCACCCTCTTACAGGCTTGGAATGTCAGTGAATTAACACATCAAATGCTTAAATTATGCCTGGCTGTCATGGACTCAACTGTGTCCCCCAGAAATGTGTGTAGGAAATCCTCACCTCTATGCCTGTGGTTAGGATCCCATTTGGGAATGGGTTGTCTTTGTTATGTTAATGAGACAGGATCAGTGTAGCGTGTATCTTAAGTCAATCTGTTCTGAGATATAAACAAGATTAAACAAGCAAGTTAACCCAACCCAACCCACTGCCATGGAGTCGGTTCCGACTCACAGCGCCCCTAGACGACAGAGTAGAACTGTCCATAGGGTTTCCAAGGCTGTCAATCTTATGGAAGCAAAGCCCAAACCCAACCCACTGCCATGGAGTCGTTTCAACTCATAGTGACCCTATAGGACAGAGCAGAACTGCCTCATAGGGTTTCTAAGCCTGTCAATCTTTACAGAAGCAGACTGCCTCGTCTTTCTCCCGCAGAGTGGCTGGTTGGTTTGTATCGCCAGCCTTCTGGTTAACAGCCAAATGCCTTAATCACGGCGCCACCAAAGCAAGCTGAAGGAGAACAAAATGAGGCAACACAGACGCCAAGCCACATGGAGATCGCCAAGGAACCAGGAAACAGGCTGAAGAGACAAGGACCTTCCCCTGTCGCCGGCAGAGTGAGAAAGCCTTTCCCTACAGCTGGCACCCTGAATTCAGACGTCCAGCCTTCAAACCGTGAGAAAATGAACTTCTTTGTTCAAGCCACCTGCCTGTGGACTTATATCAGCTAGATAACTAAGACACTGGCACACGCTCTGTCTTGCTGGCCCCACTTCCATGCCTTGATTTCCCTTTTTGGGAAACTTTGTCCCCTGCTCTCAGACTACAGGGTTCAGGTGGTGCAGACCCCAACCCAGGTCCAAGGGTGGGCAGTCCTGGGACGCAGGCCTGGCCACTCACAGTAGCCAAGCCTCCTGGACACAGGTGTAGGGATTGCTGTGTTCAGGGAGGTCATGTGACTCCAGTGTAACCAATCAGAGCAAACCCTGGGGTTAGGCGAGAACAAAGGCCTCTCTTTTCCAAGGGCTGCCAGGCCGCAGAGCCGGAGAGCTGGGCCCCTCAGGAGGGAGCACCTAAGAGTGGGGCCACCACCAGGAAAAAGAGAGTGGAGAGAGAGAGAGCAGGCAGACTCCAGGGGGCACTGTGGAGGCCTGGATCCGGTGCCTGAAAGGGTCAGCTGCTGTGGAGTCAATTGTAACCATGGCAACATCAGGTGTACAGAGTAAAACTCTGCTCCACAGGGTTTTCAAGACCCTGGACTTCCGGAAGGAGGTCACCAGGCCTGTCTTCTGAGGACCTCTGGGTGGGTTCAATGCCAATCTTCTGGCTGACAGTTGACAACCGTTTGCCCCACCCAGGAACTCCTGGAATGAGTCTTAGAGTCAAAGCAGCTTAGAGGCCTTTCTGAATTCTAGACTCTGAGCTTTGGACTCAAAAGTGTTGGGATTTCCCAGTTGGGATTTTCTCAGACACCTGTATCCTAGTCCCGGATGAAGTCAATTGGAAGGAATGTTGGGACAAGTGTGAGGAGGAGGAAGGGAGGACAGAGGGCATGTGTGTTTATGTGATTAAAGGCTGACTCACCTGGCCTGTCTTCTCCTTGTTGATAAGCAGGCGCGGGGTAGAGAGGGGTGCCCTGGGGAGATGGCAAGCTGAGTGGTGAGGGCCGGTTCTGGCCCTGCCCCGTTCCCACCACCCAGCCCCGATTTTAACCTACTTGCTGATGAGGGATGCAAAGGGCTGCACTTGCAGGGAGGTGCCCATGATGATAAGGAGGTCCACCTTCAGGAAGTCCTACAATGGGGGAGTGGCCAGTGAGGGCTCTGGGACCTTCAGAGTGTCTGTGCCACCCCCTGCCCACCACTGCAAGCCTACACCTGCAGCCAGGGCCCAGCTGGTCCTGGCACGGGGTGCAGGGGACACTTACTGACTGCATACAGGAGAAGAAGCGCGCTGGGAGGCTCTCGCCGAAGAACACGATGTCTGAGGTGGAGACAGATGGACAGACAGACAGAGAGACGGAAAGAGACAGTGAAATGGGGAGACAGGGACGGGGAGACAGCACAGGGAGTAGAAGGCAGGCGTGAAGGCTGGGTGGGAGTTGAGGAGGAGCAGCATTGCCTGCGTACACAGTACCCCACTCTCCCCAGGGTGGGTTCGGGGTGCTGGTCAGGGAGACACAGGTGGCCAGAGGTGGGGTGGGGAGCACAGCCTGGCTGGGAAGGGGTCATGGGGGTGGGCAGCCCCAGAGCTCACCAGGCTTCACCACGCTCTGACATTTCTCACACTTGGGAGTCACCTCGGAGAAGATCTTCTCTGGGCGGAGGGAGGGGGAAGGGAGAGAAGGTGTCAGAAGCTCCAGCCAGGACCTGGGGGCTGCAGTCTTCCCTGGCCCCTCCCTGCGTGTCCCTTCCTCCACTGTCAACACAATACACTCTCAGCCACCAGCGATTTCCTGGAGGTGTCTGCCCTGCCCAGAAAGGACCTCCCTTCTAAAGAACTGTCTCCATCCCTAGTTAGCCTTCAGGTCTGGAACTGAAGTCACTCCTGTGGCTTGCAGCCAAACAACAGACAGGCAGATGGGGTGAACATTTGCATCACGTTGATACACTCCTTGGAACAATGAATCATGGGAGAGCAGAAGGGCAGTACTTGCACAGGGAGCAGCTCAGGGGAAGAGGTAACTATGGGGAGAAGGTGGGAAGAGAGCTGTTACGTTGTGGGGAAATGCAGTTAACGTCACGAGACAACATGTGTATGAACTGCTGTATGGAAAATGAATTTGCTCTGTAAACTTTCACCCAAATCACAATAATAATTAAAAAAAAAAAAAAAAACCTGTCTCTATCCCCCAACTTCCAGAATCCTAAGGAATGGCTCCCAGCACCACATCTATAGAGAATAAATGAAGGAGCAAATGAAGGAGCAGACCCCTGACCCCAAGGGGCAACTGGATTCTACCAACTCCCCTCCTGGGTAACTGGATTAGGTGTAAAGGTCTTCCAGTAGGTCTCTGAGGGCAACCCTATTTCACCGCAGGTCAGAGACGCCTGGTGTCAGAGAGAGATAGAAACAGAGACAGAGACAGAGAAGAAACATGTAGATGACTGGGGTGGGGAGAAACCTCAGGCCAGCTGCCTTCTGCCCTTGGGTTTACAAAAGATCCCTACACACCCTCCTTAGGACAAGCATTCTCCTTATTGCTTATTAATTATGAAAGCATTTCTGTCACTTGCAACCCACAGAATCCTAACTCACAAGTCCAACTGTTCACTCATACAGGAAACATTTATAGAGCACTGCTTTAATGCCTGTCAGTTACTTTCAAATAGTTCTGCATTGACACGTGATCTTTTGTGAGTGATGTATGTGACGATGCTGTGACTGAAACATAATAGAGGCAATGTTAATTGTAAAGTACCCCCAGCTGTGTGCACTGGGGCTGTTCGGGAATCCTCACCCCAGGGCGGTCAGCTGGCATTTTATCAGAAAGGCTACACTCCAGAGGCCCTACTGCAAGTGCTGCAGCTGTCCTTATCTTGCAGGAACACCAGAGGCTTTGTTAACTCAGCATAAAGGAGGCCAGAAACGGTGTCCACGGGTGAAAGAAATGGCCACTTACTCAGTACAATGAATGTCAGAAAAAGGGTCTCATGACATTCAAGGTATGTGGACTGGGTGAGTTTTTTTTTTTCCTTGACACACCTCCTTTACATGAACAGGGACCACGGCTCTGGTAAGTCTTGTCATCTGCAGCTCTAGAGATGCCCCAGCCTCCATCCCTAACCAGCCACTGACCAGCTTCAAATGCTACAGTAGATTCTGCTGGCCTGAACCAACGAATGGGCTAACTGGATCCCATGTCTCGGGAGCTGCGCTGTCTGATACGGTAGCCAGAGCCACATGTGGTCTTTTCAATTTGAATGAAGAAAAAAGAATTAAAATCAGAAGTTGAGTTCCTCAGACACGCCAGCTACATTTCAACTCCTGAACAGCTGCCACCCGCCTCCAGTGGTGGCCGAGTGTGTCCAGGCCTGGTCTCCCCTATTCTGAGCCACTTCTGGGTCTGATGCTGCGTCGGGGGCCCGTGGACGTCCCCCACACATGGCAGGTGGCTACCATACTGGACGGTGCACACAGGAAACATTGCCATCACCTCAGAAAGTGCCACTGGATGGCGCTGCTCCAGGAAGTGGTGGCACTCGCTCTGACAAGGCTTTCCTGCATGATGGGGCCAGGGCACTTAACAGGACAAGGAACTGGGGTTTCATGAGCTCCCAGAAAAGACTGCATGACCGGCTGGGGGCCATTTGTGTGTGTGGCAGAAGTAGTCTGGAACTTGCATCCGTGACAACCTGGTGGTGAGGTGGTGTGGGGAGCAGGGAATCCCCACCACCTTGATTCTCTGGGAACTACCATTACCTGCTAAGTAGAGCCAGAGAGCTGTGCAGGACACAAGTGGCTTCGGTCACCTACTCGATGCAGACACTGTTCCTGGTCTGGGAAGCAGACAGTGAGCTCAGGGAGGCCCTGTAGACCCTCACCTTTCATCCAGCTTAGGGCGTACTCCTGCCGGCAGAGGGGGCTGACGCAGTGAGACGTGTAGAAAGTACCATGGGCTTCCACCAGGTCCTCAGGCTCCAGCCCCGCCACTCGCTCCAGGGTGTCTATGTTCTGGAGGTGAAGATGGAGGGAAAGGAGGGGTGAGGAGTGAACCATGCGCCTCATGGGCCAGGAGACAGAGCAGGGAGCTGAAGACAAGAAAAGCAAGTGGAATGGCTGGGGCAGGGTGTGTATGAAAACGGTAGTGCTTCATTCCAATGGTGCCACTCAAAAAACCAAACCCACTGCCATCCAGTCAATTCCAACTCACGGTGACCCCCACTGGGTTTCCAAGGCTGTAAATCTCTACAAAAGCAGACTGCCTCAGCCTGCTAGAGCAGCTGGTGGGGTTGAGCCACTGACCTTGTGGCTAGCAAATGCTTTAACTACCACACCACAGAGGGCCTTCATGGTGTCATCATTATGGAGGTAAAAGTCATGGTTGCTTGAAGGTAGGGACCCAAAGTCGAATGTCTGTGAGGCCAGTCCCATGGCCATCACCAGCCAACTACAGATGCTGTCCTTTTGTAAATTCGGGCCATTTTGCTTCCATTTTCAGGAAAATCCAGACACTTGAATTTGTTCAAATAAATGCATAAATCTACAACGTCTCCACTGGGAATGGAGCCCCCTCAGACCCACCACCTTGTGCAGCACCTGCCCTGCCCAGCTGTCTGCGGCAGCCCTGGCCAACCATTAACATAACAGTGAATCTGGAGGGTCTGTCTGGTTTAAATTACACCCACTGATCGGCCGGAGTTCCTACTGTGGTCTGTTTTACAGATGCCATATTAACGTGGGCTTTTTTTTTTTTTCCTTTCTTTTCTTTTAATTCATTTTATGGATGTATACTTCTGATCACCACAAAGTAACTACTTGCTTTATTGATTTTGAAATATGAGTTACGTATGGTTTTTTAATGATTTAATTTTGTCGTTGTTGAGAATACACACAAGACACACACCAATTGCACCATCTCTACGTGTACACTCCGGTCACGGTGATCACACTGTAACACTGTGCGACCATTCTCACCTTGCTCCTCTGAGTTGCTCCTCTCTTTGACACAAACTCACCACCCCATGAATTTCCCATGCAATCTTTCTATGGACGTGTGTTCTTCTAAGACAGAAATGCTTTCTATATTAAGCAGATGAGACACACGTGTCCTCTCATTTCTCCGAAAACAGCCACTGCCTGTGCGGCAGCTCTGCGTGCCCACTGAGGGATGGCACGGAGGCAGGTGCTGATGGCGGGCATTGGCAAATGGGACACACAGATGGGGCCCATCACACAGGGCCCCCAGCGGGACCAAGGTCTCCCAGACACTCCACAAACAGCTGAGAGGGTCTCCTTTCAAGGCCAGACAGCCCCAACTGACCTTTCTGTTCTCTGCCAGCTCTCAGCTCATCCCCCGAACGTACAGACAAGATCCACTGTTCCTAGGCTCTCAGCAGCTTTCCCCACTCCCTTCTTTGTTATAAATCCTGGTTTTGTCTTTGTGACTTGACTCAGTGTACCGAATGCCACGAGAGGAAGCAATTTGCATGCAAATTACTGAATAGCATGAGAAATAAGGAACTAATTAAAAAGCCAATTGCCTTTGAGTAGATTCTGACTCTTGCTGACCCTGTATGCGGGCTGTGTGTTTCTTTGAAGATACAAACAAATCTGAAACCACAAGCTAATGGGAAAGAATGAGGCAGATATGAATGTGTTGATATGAAATGATCTCTCAGATACGTTATAAGGTGCAGATGAACGAAGGCAGTGTGTATAGGATGGGGGGGGGCACACACATGACTTTGTGTATTTGCTTGCCTCAAAAAAAAAAAAGAAAAGAAAAAGCCAAACTCACTGCCATTAAGTCGATTCTAACTCATAGCAACCCTCACTGGGTTTGTGAGGTAGTAAATCTTTACAAAGTAGATTGCCCAGTCTTCCTTCCGCAGAGTGGCTGGTGGGTTAGAACCACCAGCCTTCTGGTTAGCAGTCAAATGCCTCAGACACTACGCCACTAGAGCTCCTTGCCTAGTATTAGGTATCTCCCGAAGGAGACACAAGAGACAGGTGACAGTACCGACTGCTAGTGAGCACTGCTGGGGAAGATGGCTAAAGGAAGTAGTGCTGGACTAAAACAAAAGCAACAACGTAGGCTTGATAGTAAGTGGCAACTAACACTCTGGTCCCACAGGAAGAGGGTGTGGTGGTGGGGGCCTGGGCAAAGCACAGCACTCCTGATTGGGCAGGGGCCACTCACCTCCAGCCAATCACTGCCACCTGGAATGCGCCCCAGGTGCAGCCAGCTCCTTCTGAATTTTTGTAAGTGAGAAGTGTAGACTTTCATGTGGAATCTTCTGGTTTTTTAACCTGGACCCACTCTTTTCCCTCTAAACATCACCGCAGGGAAATGGCATCAGTGGCAGCTCACACAGTATGTCGGTGCAAACTCGGGAAGATGCCGCCTTCCCTGGGCGAGCTTGGCACCCACTCAGCCAGTGAGCCAGGCGAGCTGGGCCGGGGCTTCGGTGCTTGACTCCAGCTGGGTGCCCTCTGACCGGGCCTGCGCAGCCCTTGGTAGCTCTCAAACAGCAATAATGACCTCCAGGGGAGGTGTGGCTTAAAGGTTTTGAAAATACACCTCCACTTACTGACTATCTCGTTATCCAACTTTCCCCATTTATGACAACAGTAAAAAATCAACTATTAGACCATATTGTGCATTAATGATACATGTCTGGCTGGAATGAATGCCAAAGTCCCTGACGGGGTCCCTGACTGGGGACCCCGTATACATGTAGAAAGGAAGTTCATATTGCGTAGAATTTCACTGCCTGGGTGAAGAGACGGGGCACGGTCTCCCCAAGTCAGTAGGGTGCTGGGTGGAGTGGAGGGGGGGCTGGTGGTGACAGGACACTGCCCAGTGCCTGGTGGATCCTGGATGCCCACAGGGCGCTGAAGCTGGGGCAACAGCAACTGGTGTCCTGAAGGTGAGCCACCCTCAGGGCTGGGGAGGACGTGGGACCCTGGGGAATGGCCTCAGCTGCCAGCCCCAAGGACCAAGCCAGGCTGTGATTAGAAGGAACCCTGAGATGGGGCAGCCGGGTACCCAGGGCCCACAGGACCCCTCGTCAGCTGACTAACACCTGTGCAGCACCTTACGCTTCCTTGATGCCCCCCAGGCTACCTGGGTTGGGGTAGGGTCAGCAAGTGAGTGGCCAGGCGTAGCTGCAGTTTAAGGTCAAGGGTGGAGGGCGGGCCTGGCTGTCATGGCCTCAGAGGAAGCTCTGGCCGGCAGATCATCATGGACACATGGGGGCAAGGTGGGTAGGGCCACCCAGCGAGAGGCAGGGGATACTTAGGTGAAGGGCTGGTAGGGGAACCCAGTGGGCAGTGGACCCCCCGCAGCACCCAGGACCTCCTACCCACAGACAGGGAGGCCTCTGCCCCTGAAAAGCCACCAAGGATCTCTTACAGTCACTGAGGGGATGAGCTGGGGCCACTCATCCTGAAAATATAGTGAGGGCAGGAGACGGAGGGGACCCTGGGAATGGGCGGCCCTCCCCTGAGGGCGGCAGAGGGAGCCGAGCTCTCCTTAGGTGACATGGGAGGCTGCGTGGCAGGTGGCCTCAGCAGGACGTTCACAGCACAGGTGAGGGTGAGGGGGTGGGGTCATCCTCCACTTTCACGTAACACCAATTTCACATAACAGCCTGGGTCTTGGAAACTACCCACGTCAATAAGGGAGGAGGAGGCATGTCCATGTTCCCCTCAAACAATACTCTCAATGTTTTCCTTCCACTGAACTGTCTTTAAGGCTGAGCAGAGAGACGTGGTGGCGGTGCAGAGCCACTCCGAGGCACCTCAGAAGGCGGGCCTGACTGCTTGCTTCCGAGCGGCCACCGCCGAGTCAACCTTGCGGAGCGGCTCTGCTGAGCTCATGAGGCATCACCATGAGTCAGAACTGCCTCAACAGCAACGAATGACGACAAATTTATACCATTTACCATTATTAATATAAGCATGTTAAGGTATATTTAAAACATACTGAAGTTTACATTTAAATTCAATACAAAAGAAGGCAAAGTGCTTACAATGGGATAAGTCACAGATTTAAAAAAGCATGAAGGTGCTATGTGGGTATCGATATACATAGGGCCCTCCAGATAGAGGTTAAGTAAAAAAAGCCAAGGACAGAACCCTACGTATAAATATCATATACAGGCAGTCCCCGGGTTCTGAACACCTGACTTATGTAAAACCTGTAGTTACGAACCAACCCCTGTAAAGCCTATTATATTAAAAATTTGAGGTACATATAACGGTTCGTAGTAACAAACAGGTGCCATCTTGTGACACGCATGAAAACATTATTGTTATTACTGTATTATTATGTTAAAGATGTTTTAGTGTACCTGGAAGTGTTTCTTTAATGTTTCCTATGTGTAAAAGGTACACTGTTCACTACCTACTAAGACAAACATTTAACTCAGTCCTGTTAGATACTCACTGTGCCTAATGGTTCTGACTTACATACAAATTCATCTTAAAGAAAGACTTAGGAACACAGCTTACTCATAACCCATGGACTGACTGTGTATATATATATAAAAGCATATGTTTATAGCTTGTGTTTACAGCCCTTTTGCTGTAGAGATCACAGCAATTTGGATGAACAAGACAACTGTCCTGACGTTTGAATGGATACTTGTGTCTTGAGATAAAAATAGGAGCATAAGCAAATCCGAAAGTGCTGCCTCGTCACAATTCAGAAAGGGGTGAAGACAATGTGTTCCAGAAAACTGGGTCAGTGACTCAAAACACGGCTGACGTTGAAGAAAAGGGTGAAAACATGAATAAAACAGTTTCATGACATGTGAAAGTGGAAAAATTTCCTCTACTTTAATGTAGTTTATGTAAGATGTTAAACATGTAAGTGTAGTTAGCTCTGCGAAGTGAGGGGAGAAAGGCCCATACACTTCACACTGACTCCCCCCACCCCCCAAAAAAACAACAAGCCCTCTGCCATGGAGTCGATTCTGACTCATAGGTGACACCCACCACTGGGGTTCTAAGGCTGTAACTCTGTACAGAAGTCGATTTATGGAAGTAGAAGTGGGTTTGAGCCACTGACCTTCTGGTTAGCAGCCAAATGCCTTTACCGACTACACGCCTTTCACATTGGCCCTAGAATGTACTAATGTTGACTTAAAAAAAAAAAAAATCATAGCACTGGTGCACCGTCATGGGTAAGGACAGGAGATTCTGCCTCAGACAGAGCTGGGCCGTGAACGCTCTGAGTAGCCCTGGTGAGTTACTTAGTCCTGGGCCTTGGTCTCTCACGTGGCGATGCCTTGTGATCTCATCCCATGAGCTTCAATGTGATCTATGGCTGCTTGGACCTTGTGGCTCATCTTAATACGCATCTCCAACTCAACGTGCCTCAGCCAAACTCGTCTCTGAAACCTCTGCCCCCCACACTGCCCACCATCTTGATAAAAAGCAGTGGGTGCTCAAGGGGAAAACCTGCCGAGGTGTCCTTGGGACCCCTCTTTCTCCACGGCCACGTCCAGTCCACTAGCAAGTCCTGTTAGGTCCATCTTCACAACAGATGCAAACTTCTGTCTGCCCTTGTCTCCCCCTGGGCCATCATGGCAGTCTCCTCCCTGGTTTCCTGGCTCCAGTCTGTTCCCAAGGGAGCCTATGAACACCTGGGCCAGGCCATGTTCTTCTCCAGCTCAGAGCCCTCCTGGGGATCCATGTCATCACAGCCACAGGCAAGGTCCTCCCTGTGGCCCACAAGGCCCCACAAGGCTGCCCCCTTCACTACCCTGCCCTCATCTCCTCCACTCTTCCTTCCTACATTCCTTCTCAATCACTCAGATCCAGCTTCTCAAGATCTAGCTTCTTGGAATTCTTTTGAGCATGCCAAAAATGATCTCACCCCCGGGCCTTTGCACTGGCTGTTCCCTCTTCCTATACACACTCTTCCCCCAGATAACCCATGGCTCCCTCCCTCTCCTCCTCCAGGTCTTTGCTCAGATGTCACATGTCACCTTCTCAGTGAGCCTTCTCTCACTGGCCTCTATGAAATTCTAAAATGCCTCTCACTTCTCGCAGGGCCTCTGATCCTCCTTCCCTGCTTAACTGTGGACCTACTGCCATCTGACACCCTAGATGTGCTCCTTTATCCATCTCATCCACTGCCCCTCTCCCTACATCGCAGAGTCAGTGCCATGAGGGCAGTGCTGCTTGTCAGTCCTGCTGCCTGCTGGCTGGGTCTGCATTTGGCTGGCACTTGTGAGCCTTTGTGGTGACAGAGCTGTCACATGAGGGTCCAGCAGGGCAGGTGAGGCCTTCATGAAAGCATGAAGGGAAAGCACTATCATCATTGAGTCTGAGCCACGTCCATGAATAAAACCAACTCTCTGGGAAGATGGGTCAAGACCCAGGCTTCTCCAAGAGCGAGGAGGGCACCTCTCCCATCCCACACCCTCCACACTCAGCCCAACAGCAGACCACCAGCCCCCATTTGAAAAATCTGAGCTTCAAAAGAATTAAGTCCCCTTGGTCCCTCCTCATCCAAAACAAAGAAGAGTGAAGAAGACCAAAGACACATGGAAACAGTTAGTCCAAGGGACTAACAGACCATATGAACCTCTGCATACATGAGCCTGAGACCAGAAGAACTAGACGGTACCCAGCTACCACTGTCAACACTCCAGGAGATCCTGGATAGAGTGAGAGAACAATGTGGAACAAAAGTCAAACTCATAAAAAAAAACCAGGCTTACTGATCTGACAGAGCCTGGTGAGACCCCTGAGACTGTGGCGACGAGTCACCCTTTGGGCCTGGAATTGAACTTCCATGGCTCCAGCCAAACAACAGACAGGCATATAAGGTGAACATTTACACCAGGTAGGTACACTCCTTGAAACAATCAACCAGGGGAGATCAGAAGGGCAGCATTTGCACAGGGAGCTAGCTCAGGGGGCAGGATGCATAGGGAAGGACACAGAGGACGGGTAACCACAGGGAGGAAGGGGGAAGAGAGCTGTTACCTTACGTGGATTGCAGCCAGTGGCACGAGACTAAATGTGTATGAACTGCTGTGTGGAAAATGAATTTGCTCTGTAAACTTTCACCCAAATCACAATGAAAAAATAAATCAATAAATAAGAACTCAGCCTCCTCCCCTCCTGGCCACTTCCAAGGCTGCAGGATGAAAATATTAGGTACTTTGCTGTGTTAGCCCCAGCTTCATAACTGTGGGCTCTGAGACATGATTTATAACATACGTGGTATTGCTGCAACAATACACCATGAAATTTCAACACATACTCATATAACAACAGTGGCTGCACAGACAACTCTCACTGATGGGGCGCCAGGCCCCAAATGTCTGACAACTAGTCCAGAAGCCAACACTGTGAGCCGTCCTTCCCTGGAACCCTGTGGGAGAGGCCCTCAGCTAAGCACTGACTTGGATGAGCCATGGCCCACATGTGATGCCCAATTCTGAAAGATACCACACCATCTGTTGGGAAGTGTCACAGCGTACTATTTTGCTAGATTGAGTCACTTGGTGTCATCTGCTGGAAAGCCACCATAACGGACAAAGTCTAGGCTGTCTTCTGCACATAGGCGGCTCTGCGGGGAGCCATTGCCAACTCAGCCCAGGGCAAGACCGTGCCAGCTCTGCCGGGGCCCACCGCCAACTCGGCCCAGGGCAAGACCGTGCGGGCTCAGCCGGGGGCCCACCGCCAACTCAGCCCAGGGCAACACTGTGCTGGCTCTGTTTCACAGAAGGGGAAACTGAGGCTGAGGGAGGGGCAGTAGCTCACTCCAGGGCACACAGCAACGAAGCAGTGGGCCAAGCCCACGGAGGCACAGCCTGAGGCTTAGCCCCTCAGTGCCGGGACCCGCCCAGCCTGCCTGCTTCCTCCCGGCAGGCTGCAGCCTCGCCTACCTGTGTGTAGCAACGCAGCAGCAGCCCTTTCTCCTTCAGGAGGCGGATGAAGTAGTGGCAGATGGTCGGCTGGAGGGAGTGAGCACAACGCCAACAATGAGAACGCACGCGACTGTGCCAGCAACTGTTCCGGGCACTAAGCCTGCTCTACCCCAGGGAATCATCACTACGACGTGAGGGAGAGACCACCATTCTCCCTGTGTCACAGGTAAGGAAACTGAGGCGTAGGGAGCTCGGCCATCTCATCCACTGTCACACAGCCGGTAAACTGCAGAGTTGGGATTCGCACCCAGGCAGACTGGTTCCAGAGTCTGGGTTCTCACCAAAAACCAAACCCAACCCACTACCATTGAGTCGATTCCAACTCAGAGCAGACCCATTGGGTTTCCAAGGTGGTAAATCTTTGCAAAAGTAGATTGCCTCATCTTCCTTCCGCAGAGCAACTGGTGGGTTTGAACCACCAACCTTCTGGTTAGCAGTCAAAAATGCCTTAGGCACTATGTCACCAGAGCTCCTGCGTTCCCACTTACATTACTAATTTCATTTAAGCCTCAAAATGAGCCTTTGAGGTCAGTATTGTTATCAGTCCCATTTCACAGATGAGAAAACTGAGATTCAAAGTCACAAAACCAGAAGTGGACCCCAGGCAGTCTGGGCCCAGAGCCCACACACTTAACCACTGAGCTATACTTGTCTGTAAAGGTCTTGGAGGGGGGTCTTCCCATGCCTGCTCTCCCCCAACCTTTCCTGTTCCCCTCCAAATAAGACCTCACCTTAAACTGCCCAGGATACAGCTCCTTGGCGAGGGCAAAGAAGGGCTCTGGGTGTTTCTGTAGGAGAGACAGCAGATGGTAGACAGGCACCCAGACGGCCTGTGAGATGAGGCTGGAGCCAAGTGACCCCATGCCCTCCCCCAGGGGTGTTATGGACATTCCTCCCTAGGGGCGCACATACCTTAAAGTAGCCAATCTCAAAAATGGCCTCTGGATAGGGAAGGTGATACTTCTCCAAGTTGGCGTAGAGGCCGGTGGACGGGGAGCGGAAGTCAGGAATGCCGGCAGCTGGGAGGCGAGGAGACGCCATCAGAGATGGCTGGCCTCCCTAGGCCACACCGAGCCTCCCCTGCGAGGCCTAGACAGGTCCCAGCCTTCTCCCCAGCCCCTAGGAGGGGCTCCCCCATGTCCTGGGGGTGGCTGCTTTGGGAGGGGGGCACTTACACGTGGAGATTCCGGCTCCCACCAGACAGATGACTCTGCGACCTGGGGAGAGGAGTTGAGGCTTCAGTTGCCCTGCTCTGCGCAGTTCACCGCCCTTCATGGCCCCTGCTGGGGTTAGGCCAGGTCTCACGGAGTCCTCCCTGCAACCTACTCGGGGAAAGGCTGCTGGTGCTCCGCGCATGCCCATTTCACTAATGAGGAAACTGAGGCTCAGATAGGGAAAGGGGTCACACAGCCAACTGGTGGAAGGGCCAGCACGGGGTGGAGAGCTGTCTGAAATTCTACCAACGAAGATGATTCCAAGGAGCCCTGGTGGCACACTGGCTAAGCACTTGGCTGCTAACCCAAAGGTCAGTGGCTTGAACCCACTGCTACTCTTCAGCAAAAAAGACCTTGCAATCTGCTCCTGTGAAAATTCCAAACCAAAACCAAAGCCACTGCCATCAGTCGATTCCAACTCACAGTGCCCCTGCTGGGTTTCCAAGGCAGTAAATCTTCACAGAAGTAGACTGCCTCATCTTCCCCCATGGAGCAGATGGTGGGTTTGACCCGCTGACCTGGTTAGCAGCCAGAGACGCCTTACCCACTACACCACCAGAGCCCCTGCCTATAAAGATCACAGCCCAGGACACCCTATGGGGCAGCTCTGTCATACAGGGTCGCTAGGAGTCAGAATCAACTCAAAGGCACGCAAGTGACAAGAAGACTCAGGAAAAGGCCACTTGGGGAGAAGCTTCCCCTCCTGATGCGGTCTAGACAAAAATGCTCAGTGAGAAGGCATGGGTGGGCAGGTGGGGGCGTTCTCCGAGAAGAACTGCAGGTTATTACAAAAATCTCTGGCAACACCGTAGTTTTCAGACCCAATCTTGGAGGACCTTCTGTTTCTAGCACATTAGACACATTCCTTCATCGTATTACTTTCCTTCATAATCAAACACACCTCAGATACCAGGGCCTGATATTCCAAAGGCGAAAACTAAAGAGTGGCTGCTCTCAGCCTACGCCCAATGGACCGTCAGTGGATAAGGCATTCTAGAGCCTACTGCCCACAATTTGAACCTGCTCCTCGCTCATGCCAGTGTGACCTTAGACAGCTTAAGAGTTGTGTTAAAACTCTTAAGAGTTGTGTTAAGACACAACTCTCGACATCACTCACCTCTTCTTTCTTAATTTCTCTTGTGATCTGGGTGACAGTTTACAGAGCAAAGTCATTTTGCACACAGCAGCTCATCCACATTTTGTTTCATGACACTGACTGCAATCCCTGCAGTGTAACAGCCCTCTTCCCACTTCCTCCTGTAGTTCCCTGTGCCCTTCTGTCCTACGCATCCCGCCTTCTGAGCTGTCTCCCTGTGCAAACACTGCCTTTCCGTTCTCCCATGACTGCGTGTTCTCAGGGGTGTATCTACCTGACGTAAATGTTCACTCCATATGCCTGGAAGCCATGGGAGTGAGTTCAATTCCAGGCCTGAAGGGTAACTAGGGGCCATAGTCGTGGGGGTCTCACCAAGCTCTATCGGACCAGTAAACCTGGTCTTTTTTTATGCTTTTGAGCTATGTTCCACATTCTTCCCCGACTCTATCCAGGATCTCTGGCGCTGACCCCTTTCCAAGGGGTTGATGGCGGCAGCTGGGTACCATCAGTCTCCTCTTCTGTAAAATGGCCTACTCCCTAACCTGGCCTGGTGGAACCGCCGACAGCAGAATGAATGAATTCATATAAGCTTAGACCAGCACCTGGCACCATGCAGCCACCATATCCGCATGGCTGTTATTCTTTGGAGGGGCCCTGGTAGTGCAACGGCTGGGTGCTTGTCTGCTAACCAGAAGCTGGCGGTTCAAACCCACCAGTGGTTGGTTCCACGGGAGAAAAGTCCTGGTGATTTGCCTGTAAAGATTTCAGGCTAGGACACCCTATGGGGCAGTGTAATTTCTGCTTCGTGGTTGCTACGAATTGGAATCAACTGGATGGCACAACAACAACAACAATTATTCACTGAGTCAATTGTATTAAAATAAATTTCTTGAGACCCAGGATTCATGCAGCTCTAAGTACTTTGCTCCCCACAAAAGGAAGATGGGGAGAGAGGGTAGGAAGTTGAAACTGTTTCCAAGCACACTGGGAAACAGCCCTGCTACCACCTCAGCTGGGGGCTGGCAGACCACCCCGCCACATGATACTCTGGCCTCTGCCTGTCAGCTGATGCCCAGATGCAAGCCTGGACGCCCGTGAACCGGGAGGACAGGAGAGGGAACTAAGGTGAGGCCTGCCACGGCTTCACAGCTTTGTCTCTGGGCTGCCAGTGAGTCAGGCTCAGTGGGCATCCTGCAGGAGGCTGCAGGGTAAGAACACGCGCTCTGGATTTAGGTGGCCGGGCTTCGAATCCTAAACCTGCCAGTTGCTAGCTGTGTGGGCCTGTACCAAGTTACACCTCTCTGTGCCTCAGTTTCCTCCCCTGCCCAGGTCACTCCTGTAATGACCTCACAGGTCTGATGAGAAGATCAAATGGGAGGACGCCCGTTGAACGCTCAGCCCAGCAGCCAGAATACAGTCAGGCTCCACTAAGTGCGATTACTGGTTTCTCTCCCAGGGATCCTCTGGAGCCAATGGCCCTGAAACTGTGGACCAGGACAGGGGGCAGCAAACGCTTTGTAGCCACTGCCCGCACTGTCTCTGGGATCCACTGTGGCCAGAACTGCAGACAGCTGCCTGGTCTGCCCTGGGGGAGGGAGCTCAGAGCAGCAGGCCTGGCTGCCCGAGGAGGACAGGGAAACCGGAGGAGACGGCCTCAACAAAAGCTTGTCCAGGACACTGAAAGGATCTGTTGTTCCAGCAGAGGACTGCTGACGGCCTGGTTTCTCAGACTTTGGTGACCTCGACTCCCGGCAAGAGATACAAATCACAGGGTGATCCAGTAAACGCGCACCTAGGCACCCAACTCTGAAGCACATTTCCTGTAATAATCTTCATATCAAACACCCATCAAGGCCCTGTTCTAGGCACTGACATCTGTATTAACTTATTTAACCCATCAACAACCCTATGGTTATGGTCATCTTTTCGTGATATGGTGTGCCCAGTCAGAGCACAGTCAGTAGTTCAGCATTGCAGATGTGATCCAGGTCTGGCCAATCAGAGACGTGGTGAGTGGGTCAGAAGTAGGCATGTGACCTAAGTTGGGCCCACAGAAGCCAATCTCTGCCCTTTTACTTGAACCACTGGGAAAGGGGTGCTCTCTCTGTGGGAGCTGCTAGATAGACAGAAATTTAGAGAGTCCCAACAACGACAGGGAAGCACCCGGATCCAGCCGTGCCTAACGCTGGCTTTAGTTACAGAGCCAAGATACTTTATCCGTTTATTTGGCTGAAGCCAGTTTGAGTTGGGTTTCTTATTACTCACAAACAAAAGGTGTGACTGATTCGGGGTGCTGAGGGTGAGAAGACCCTTGGGGCCAAGAGGAGGGTTAGTGGTCCAGTGTGGGCAGGTGACTCACAGCGCTCGCTCTGCATGTAGCGGGTCACCCCTTCCAGGGTCAGCTCGTCCAGCAGACGCTCCTTCTTGCTGCCCAGGCCCAGTGTCTGGGAGAAGAAATTCCGTAGGAAGTCCACTGATCAAAAGGAGGAAAGAGCCGGTGTGGCAGGCACTCAACTGGAGCACACAGGGGGCCCTGGCCCTGGAAGCCCCCAGCCTCCCCACAGCTGAAGGCACCGGTACCAACTCTGCTGTTAGAAACTCGGAGTGTCACTCCTGGTGGAGGCGAGGGGGTGTCACCCAGACCCCTGCCCTGAGATCCTGCACCGGGAACCCCGCTCTCGGTGCCCCCAGGAAGATACTCACTCTCTGCTTCTCCACCAGTGGCTCCTTCCTCAGCGTCGGAATCGGAATCTGAGTCCTGGAAGGGGTGAGGGTGGGAGGCCAGGCCAGAGAAGTGGGGTCAGGGAGGGAGAGAAGAGGTGGGGGTGACAGTGGAGCTTGGGGGACAGGCTCTGGCTAGGGAGGCCTGAGGAAGTGAAGGGCAGTGGAGCGACCCCCTGGGGGGCAGTGTGCACGCTCTGGGCTGGGAACCTAGCACGGCTCCTCCCTAGGAGCACGGTCTCCTGTGAGTGAGTGGCTTTTCCGCACCTCGGTGCTCCATATCTGTGAAATGGAGCCCAGTGCATCATGGGTGGATGCACAGAGTTAACGTGTGTAAGGCGTTTAGAACAGCACGGGGTGGGGGTGGGGGTGGGTCAAGTGCTGGCTCCTCCTATCACCACAGGCCTGTGCTCACATCCTCACGGCATTGTTCCCCTTTTGTCCCCTGCAGCTTAGGCCCACCACCCCTTACCAACAGCCCTGCAGCTGTCCTCATTGAAGTCACTTTTGTGAATAACAGTCCTCACCCCACACTGCTGGGCTCCTCCGCAAAGCCTCAGACTCCCCCCACTTTGGACCCTCCAGCCTCCTTTATCAATGTCCCCCTTGCCCAGGCTCCGACACAGCAGGCCTCTGGGCTCTGTGCTTTCTCTCGTCACCCTACCTGTGGTACCTACCTCACCCATGCCCGTGGCCTCAACCCAGGCATGGGTGATGTTACCTCTCTATCCCCAGATCCAAGGCTCTGTGGCCTCCTGGACACCTCCCCATGGATGACTCCCAGAACCCTCACTTCCACCGTATCCCAGAGGCCTCAGCACCTCCCCAGATCTGCTCCTCCTCTCGGAGCTCAACTCAGGAGGCCTCACCCAGTCCCTGGCCTCGTCCTGGGCACCTCCTGCCTGTCTCCCCTGCTTCCTGCCACAGCCATGAACCCCACTTGGCTTCCTGAATGCCCTCCTTGCTTCCCCATAGCTCCATCTAGTCTAACTGGCCCAAGCTTTGCCCCACCTCCTCCCGAACTCCTAGCTGCAGTCTCTGCCTCCCACGCACCCTCCATGTGATGGCCCTGGCCCACTCCCTGCTACTTCAAAGGCCCTTCTCTTAGGCTTTAAGCATTCAGCCATGAATATCTATGGAGTCTGCCATGATGCCTTGATGGCAACTCATGTTCCCCTAGAACAAGGTCTAGGGGACCTGGTATCTGGCAAGAGTGCCAGAACCATCCACCACTGGATGAATGCCTACTGTGTGCTAGACCAGGGCTGGGCCCTACGATGATCTCACAAAAACGCAAAGCTGACCACCTCACTCCCCATTTTAAAACTCTTTTGACAACCCTCTCTCCCATCACTCACTACCCTGGTTCTAAGCTTTTTTGAATTGGAGCCTCCCCTTCCACGTGGCAGGGCTTACTGCTAGGAGCTAAATCACAACAGTGATTTCACTTCCCTTTCCTTATCTCTCCCAGTGCATATTCCTGGGTCCCCCTAGAGCCACGTGCCTTACATTAAACAAGGAAACATTCACAGCCAGCTGGCTCTGACTGCAGCCACGGTCCACCATTTACCCCAACACCAGGCCAGAGTACACCATTCACCCCAAACCAGGCCAGAGTACACCATTCACCCCAACAGCAGGCCAGAGTACACCATTCACCCCAATACCAGGCAAGAGGACACGATTCACCTCAACATCAGGCCAGAGTACACCATTTACCCCAAACCAGGCCAGAGGACACCATTCACCCCAACACCAGGCCAGAGTACACCATTCACCCCAAACCAGGCCAGAGGACACCATTCACCCCAA